TTTTTGAAATAAAGCAAATATGCCATCTTATGACAGGTTACCCGGGGATTCTTTTCGAAAAGATTGCTTTACTAGGGTTGTAATATTACTTACCTTGCAGCCTAACCCACGCCAAGGTGCGGGTTTTCAACTAATTTTTTTTTCTGGCCACCTGTAGAAAGGGACTATCCGAGTAGTATACATCGTTCATAGTGATGCAATATATAGAAAACATGCACGAAAACATTATTTCTTATGCTAAATGTGGTAACAAATAACGTCTACTTTAAATTTTCAAAACCTCCATCAATTGCCGAATAATTTTAAACTCGACCTGCAGTTACACAGTCATTCGAAGTTTCCACGCTTTATACGGTATACCTTCCGTCCAAGTAAAATCACAGCTTTCTTCACGCTATGAGGAAGACGTCACATTCTGTTCATAGACTTTTGTAATGCATATGGCGGTATTAATAAACATACATATAGTATAATTTATGAATAAGAACTACATTGTCTTAAAAACTGTAATAATTATAATCTTTTTGGAACCGAAGGATAGCCTTCCTTTAAATATTCATTTGAATTATACCTATTTTTTACCAATTGAATAGAAAAAGCAACATTTTCGTGTGTTTTTAAATGTATTTGAATTTATAAAGACATCAGAATTCAACGAGAAAAATATATACTATTTGGGTTCGTTTTTTGTAGGCGGCCAGAGGAAAGCTGTTTCAAAAGCCGATACATTGACGTGTCTGACATTTCTTAGAAATAGGCTGTACTATTATTAATATTACAACCCTACTTAGGTATTACCTTCGAATCGAAAACATTTCAGAATTTTGGTTGATATTCAATGAGCTAGCAAATCTACTGCCCTCCGTTTAGATTCATCACAAAATTGTTATGTTTTTCAGAAAGTTGTGTATAAGATAAACTACATTCCTACGAGGTCTCCTTATTTCCATTATTTATTTTATTTCGCTTGTCTTTGGGTTATTTAACCCTGTCTTCGAAATTCCCTTTAGCTCTTTATGTACCAACTGTTACGTGGACTTCAGTTTTGTCATATGAACAACGTCCTGCACCGTGACTTAAAGCCCCAAAACCTCCTAATTAATGCTAACGGCGAGCTAAAGCTGGCAGATTTTGGACTCGCTCGCGCCTATGGTATTCCGGTCCGTCAGTACTCTGCGGAGGTACGTTTTTCGCTCCCAAGATTGGGGTTCTTGTGTGAATTACGCCCTCTCCCTCTCTCTGCCCACCTTCTGATTGCCCACTGATTGCCTTTCTTTGCATGCAGGTCGTCACACTGTGGTACCGGCCACCAGATGTTCTTTTTGGTGCCAAGATCTACACCACCTCCATAGATATGTGGTCGGCTGGATGCATTTTTGCTGAGCTTTCAAATGCAGGCCGGCCTCTGTTCCCCGGATTTGATGTGGATGACCAACTCCGACGCATTTTCAAGTAAGCGCATCAAAATCTAAGGCAATTGTTCCGTAAGCCTCTCGCAGACAGTACTGTATGCACATCACTCCGTTGCCGCAAATGCGCTTCACATAGCAATAGTTGAGTTCTGTTAAAAAAAACAATCTTCGATCATCTTCAGATGAAGTTTACTCGTAAGAATGTATCCGAGTCTCCTATCGGGGACGAAAAACACTCTTTTCTTCCACTTTCTTTTCATGATAGTTCAAATACTGTTGAGCCAGGTATTCGCTTCGTTCCTGAATGAATGAAGAGATTCGCGTCCCAGGTATTTGAATAGACAAG